AGGCAGCTAGTCATCCCCACCAACCGCCAACTCTTGGGCTACTCTTTTACCAACGAATAGTGGGATTGACCGTCACATTATAACGCCCCCACGGCTGAAAGGGCGAGCATGTTTGGTGGGACGGGAATTCGAACCCGCGACCCTCAGATTGCGAGTCGAGTGCCCTAACCACCTGGCCATGCCGGGCCTCAGAAAAGTGAGTTGTAATGTTCTGAGAATGGCGTTAGTATTTTTTCTGTTTTTTTTTTTTTCTAGCTTGAACATTTCGTTGTTTGTTTGTAATTAAGCATAAAGCTACACAATGGGCTATCTGTGCTCTGCCCACCACGGGTATTGAAACATTCCGCTGTGCCACTGGGGGGGGGGGCATATATATAGTTGTAGTCATTACAGAATACTCGTCTCATATGCTAAGTTTTATATACGAGTTAAACCATGACTGTGGACTTCGTATTGATATTTAGTTAGGTAAAAAGAGAAATTGGTATCACCTACTATTTCAAGAACCAAGAATAGCTTTTGAAACCTAAATATACAAGATTTTATTCTAATTTTGTCAGTAAGAAGACTTTTCAATCACCAATTCAGTGCCGAATAATTTGTAGCAATAATGTTCGGGAAATTTACTTATTTACTTATATAACTGAACATTTTGGTTATTTACTGCAATCTTTTACACAATTCCAAAAACTAACGGCCAGCGTTTTTGAGTGTTTACAAAGGAACATGGATACAAAAAAATCACATAATGATAATAATAATCACAAGCAAACTTTAAAGTTATATTTTCACTCAGTTCATAGGTTCGAACATTGTATTTATACCGTCTTTTAAGTTCAGTTTGAAAAACAATATAAATTGTTTATCTTGATAGTTGTAATTATTTGGGTATTATTTGTATATTTAAGATATTTTCAAAACAAATTCATATAATGAGTGTCAGGGGTTTATCACTATTAAGAGGTTCTAGGTTCAACGATACTTATAATATGCATATGAGATTTATATAGAAGAACCTTATGGTTTTGCTATTCCAAAAATAGATATACGTTCATATAGGTTTAAAAGTTGGGTTATTAACTGGGAACAACAATGAGCACGTAGGATTATCCCAATAAGATAAGGATATCCAGTGAAATATTCATCAATATTTTGTGAACCTCTTTCAACATAACTGAATAAGGAAATGAGTATTTAAAACGATTGAGCCCATCTTTGGTTTATCAGTTTCCAAAAATTCAAGTGATTATAACCAGTGTCATTTGTTTAAACTATTGCTAACAATATCGTTATAAAATCTTGTATACTAAACAAATCAGTTACGTGACGTGCAATTTAACCCACACTATCTTTAATGTTGTTCAATCCCTAAAACCTGCCTGTTAGAAGTGACTTTCTCAGTAAGATAACTTCCATCAGCGCATTAATGTTAAGTTAGTAAGCTGATTTGTTCTGCATAGAATTTTATTTATGTTTCTTCGTTTTCCTCGAGTAAATTGACCTAGAGATCAGTAAATAAACTTCTTTCGAGATACATCTTAAGCTAAGTTTGAAGTGACTCCACTCTTCTACTGTATACTGTAGAATATCTGATATTTGTGTTAAACGGACAATGACTCCAGCACCCCCCACCCCCCGCCACGAGGATCAGCGGAAAGCCTAAGGGTTTATCACGCGAAAAATCAGATTTCGATACCCGAGGTGGACAGGATAGAGAATGCCCATTGTGTAACTTAACATCAAACAAACAAACAAAACTCCAGGAAAGCACTTGTACCTGTTTTTAGACCTGTCGCATTATATTATAAAGTGCTTTAAGAAACCATTCGGTGACTAATTGATTAATAAGTTTTCTGAGAATAATTCATACCATCGTATTCCTTGCGTTGTATCAAATAATAAGATACTTTATCAGATATTGCACCCTTTAAATTTTCTCATTCATGATTTTTAGGTTTTCTATTCATTTCTCTTGGTGAAATATGCTACGATAAGACAATTGTTTTATGTATCAGTAGGTTAATATTTTCAGGAAAGTTATTACTGAAGTTCTTCGAGTTTTAAACCATTAAGTGTGATTAAAAATGAATCATAAAACATATTTTATTTGGTAAGAGCTAATTAAGGATAAAAATTATGTAAAATAAATGAACTTTTGAAGACTTAAGTTTGCCGGTTGTCATTCTTGCGTCTGTTTTCCCTCTGTTGCATCTCACATATTACAGTATAATACAGTTTAATCTACTGCTAAAAAGTAACAACTGTAAATAACGTTTTGCTTTTTTTTTTAATTTTCAAAAGTTTATGATATGTCCTTTTAAAAAAAAAACTCCCTTGCTCACATTTGCTCTAATGTAAAAAGAATAGCTTTCAGGCGTAAAATGCTTAAAAATTATGATAAAAATTTATAACAATTAATCTCGACTCGCAGTCTGAGGGTCGCGGGTTCGAATCCCTGTCACACCAAACATGCACGCCCTTTCAGCCGTGGGGGCATTATAATGGGACGGTCAATCCCACCATTCGTTGGTAAAAGAGTAGCCCAAGAGTTGGCGGTGGGTGGTGATGACTAGCTGCCTTCCCTCTACTCTTACACTGCTAAATTAGAGACGGCTAGCGCAGATAGCCCTCGTGTAGCTTTGCACGAAATTCAAAACAAACAAGCAGCCAGTCATGAGAAATAAAAAAAAACTATAACAAGTAATCAACCGTATAAAACATGTGCTATGAAAATACACATGGAGAAGTTTATGTGTGGTTATCATTCGGTGTTTTTGGAGTCACTGTCCTTTACCAACAATTATAAACATATTGAGCATAAAAAGTTTTAGGCAACTTTTCCTAACTGTTTTGTACAATAGTGTCTTGTCACCTGCTCTTGAATTAGTATATTTTGTTCAACTCTAACTACATCCCCTGATGGGACAGCGGAAAATTGACAACGCTAAAATCCCTGTGTTGTACAGAGCTCACGCAGAAACCCCAGCGTGTGATTTTGGGCTGAAAACAAAACTAATAAACTTCTAACTTCAATATAAACCTTAAGTTTATTTTGTGGTTAACCCCAAGACGAATGAAAATATTTAAAAAAAATCCATGAAGAAACATTACTGGACATGAAATTAAGATAGATTGCCATAAATCTATTTTTAGTTTTTGTTTAATGTTTGACACACAAAATTAAGTGCGAAGAACTTTTTTGTTTTTGTTTTTTTATCAATATTTTTGTGATCATAGAAACCTTTTTTTTTTACTTCTTATCCTCCAAAGATAGTTGCCATTTACATGTTGAAACTAAAGCACACAATATATGAAACATTACAAAAAGTATTACAAAATAATTATATTGGTGGTTCAGCGGTAAGTTCGAGATCTTATAACGCTAAAAGTCAGATTTGGATACCCATGGTGAGCAGATCACAGATAGCCCGTTGTGAAGCTTTCTGCTTAATAACAAACAAAACTTAATTTATCTCAACATATACAGGTCAGAGTACATTGTTCTAGTTTACAACTTAATAAAATCAAAGAACACGTTCTCCGTGTTAGGAATATTTCACATTCTTTGATATTTTTTAAATGTTTTGTTCAATATTGGTTTAGCATTAAGACTTAAAGGCTTACAACCCTAGAAACCGAGTTTCGATATCCGTAATGGACACAGATAAGATGGCCAATTGCGTTGCTTTGTACTTAGTAATAAACAAACAAATACCCATATAATTAAAAGAGTAACGTGTGTGCCTACGTGGGAAGTTTTTAAACTTCATTAAACTATGTAAAAATGAAACTAAAAGTGAGAAAGTACGAACGACGTAACCATTTGCGTAATGGAGAGGTAGGTGTAGATTGTACAATGCATTGCAAAGAGAAGGGTAATTGGGGAATGGATCTGTAATTCCTGAGAGCCCCATTTCAGACAGCAATATTTATGCGTTGAGGATGCGTTTGTGTGTGGATTTTTTCATTTATTTATAGGCACTTCGAGTGCTGGTACCGTCACCCTGTTGAGTTTTAATATTTTCACCCGATACCAAAGTTTTGAAAGCGTCGCTGAGTCTGGCGTCTCTTGTTGGATAACGATCGGTTTGTCATTTTTGATCAGACCATTCGACTCGATGTGTTTTGTACCAGGGGTGATTGATGTGTATCATGTGTTGTGGTATAAGTTTAACCCACTTAGGTTTAACCTCGCAGTCATTGAGACTCCCCGCACGGCCATAAGATTCGATCAGAACACTACGTACCTAACCTCTTATGTAATTAGTCTAAGCAAGCCATTTGACTATTTTAATTATATTAGACACACAGCACAGCCTTTGCATTTTATAAACTTTGTGCATCCGAATACAAAATACCACAACCAAAAAATGTATGGTACGCGAAACATGTTTTTTTTTCCCCCTTAGTTTTAAATATTTTTGTTACAATGAGAATATCTGAGGAAATCGCAGTTGTTCTGTGGGGATTTCTTTTTTGGACGTTTTGTGTTTACTTGTACAATGTTTCTACTAGCTTCCCGATGGCTCAGCAGTGAGTCTGAGGACTTAAACAATAAAAATTGGTTTTGGATATCCGCGGTGGGCAGAGCACAGATAGTCCATTGTGTATGTAGCCTTGCACTTAACAACAAAGAAACGAAAACGTGTTGGTTGCTGGTATGATCATTGTCTAATTCTGAAATGATAAACTATAGGGAAAGCAGCTTGACATCACCAGCCACTGCGAACTCTTACCCTGCTCATTTACTAAAGAACAGAGGCATTCCAGACCTCTCCCCCCTTAAACAAAGGAAAGGCAGGTTAAAAATGAACATTGTCAACTTGAAAATGATCGTACCAGCAACGAAAATGTCGTACAAGTTAACAAATACACTGAAATCCTGCGATTTCTTCGAATATCTGTCAATAGCAGGAAAACTAGGAAATTAAACGAGAATATTTGTTTTAGTAAATATAAAATCAAATTGTTTATAGATTTGTTTCTTGTCGTATTTCCAGGAAGTGGAACGGCCGGAAGAGAAACTGGGTATCACCTATCCGACCTATCTTGGAAAAGAGGACCTTGCCAAAATACGGAATCTAGCACTGATAGAACTTACGTCATTGTTTGATGCATTTGGCTTATCATATAACCGTCGAAAACCACTTAAAAGGAAACTGAAAGGTAACTATATAAAATATATACAAGTCATGTGAAATTATCATTTTTAAAGACGATTTCTGTTCCGGAAGTCTAGAACAGAATTCCAGGAATTTACACGTTTCTCTAACAGATGACTATATTTTAAGGAGCATAAACTGCGATATGAACCTATACCTGCCTCATTTTTGCCCGGTTTTAATCCCGTGTTTATATTTAACTGGGAAGTATATTTGAAACTACACGTGGGCGATTAACTAAGTGAAGGAACTTAAGTAATAAAAAGAAGTTTGTGTGCGTGTATATATATATACATATGGATTATGAGGAGGTAAAAATCGTACAAGCACACCTATAACAACTTTTTCTTCCTTACCTTGTATGAGGAAATTTGCTACAAAAGAAAGATAAACGTTGGAGGAAAACTTTTGCTATAGAAAAAACATCTCTAGAAGAAAAAGTTAAAGGGGAAACAGAATCAAAGCTTAAAACGCAAAGCTGTATGTGTATATTAACTCCAATCCCAGATAGACAGTTCAAACACAAACTTTGTCAACCTACATTACATGACATTACGACAAAATAGTAGATATGTATATACCTATTTTACAGGACAAACGATACAGTATACTTACCACAAGTTAGCTGCAATAACAAAACTGAAACTTTAGAAGTAGTAAACCTAGGATTTCAAAACTAAAACGACGAGAAATTGACAAAAATCGTTTAACTACTAAGTCAAATGTGCATAAAACGTGGTACAAGTAAAACAATGTATACAAAAAATTCACATTTCAAATTAAAGGCAACATATCTATGGGTTTTGAGTCCGTTTTACTTCACCACCTTGTCCACAGTAGAGGGTACGACCAGTCAAAGAATGCATTAGGCTTATACGTCACAGATTCTCTTTTCATTTCCACCTCTTGCGGAAAAGAAAAGAAATATTTAATATATATGTACATACAAAGGCAACTTTGAGCAAGCGATCGTAAAATAATGTTACGTATCTGCTTGTTTGTTAATTTCCGGCATAAAATTCTTTCCGAGGAACTTCAGCGATACAAGTCCTTTCTTAATTAAACCAGTTTATTTTTTTCCTCGATACAACTCTGTAATACACAGAATTTCCACAGTCACTTTAAAACTTAACAACTTTTATAAACACACGCTATAATTCACAGGGATTCACATACTTTACTTACGGCTTGACTCTATTATCTCTATCTATGCCATCCTATCTCGCTTTATTTGCTGGGCTTATATCCTAAAAAAGAGGGTGCCTGGAATGCACTCGGGCCTTCATGATCCTTCTAGAAACTCATCACGTGGTACCAACGTCACGTGACTTCCGCTGTCATAACAGTATTATTTGTGCATTTTCTTTCGAATAAAACAATATTTCCTCTGACTTCAAATTATATTTACACAATACAGTTATTATATCTGTTTAAAAGATAATTTAGAAAAGCTATATACAAATCCATGAGCATGCCACACAGTTGTATCTTACTTTTCTTTTGCCAGGTATAGCTGGGTGGTTAGGACATCCGACTCATAATCTGCTGATCGCGGAATCGAAACCCGGTGTTGAATATGCTAGCTTTTTCAGCCGCGAGAGTGTTAAAATGTGATGGTGAATTCCATATTCCTTGAGAAATAATTGAAAGAGGATGATGTAAACCTGTTGCCTTCAAAATTAGGGACAGTGGCGGATAACCTTAATAGACTTGCCTTAAACAAACACACAAAAATCTTATGTTTCTTTAATTTTTTTTATATTTAACTTATGTTTTCAAACAAAACATTTCTTTATTTTATCTGAAACTAATTTCAACATTGCCAGTTGAGAACAATTGAAGTTCAAGGAGTTAATTCTTATGCTTCAATTGTATTTATGATTAGTTATTAAAATTTGTTTGTCTGTTTGAAGTTAAGCACAAAGCTACACAATGGGCTATCTGTGCTCTGCCCACCACGGCTATCGAAACCTGGTTTGTAGCTTTGTAAATCCGCAGACATACCGCTGTGCTACTAGGGGGCAGCTATTAAAAACATTTTTCTTATAGTTTGCTCATACACTTTGTCATTGATATTTTTTATTGTCAGCTACCAAGTACTTTTTTGTCAGATCAACATTATTGGAATGAAGTTGACGTAGTTCACACTCGTATGCCAAATCATATGCCAGTGATTAAACATTTTAATGCCCATCTATTACTTTCCCATATTTTTCATTTAAAACTAAACTGACTAATACTCAATCCGTGATCCCATGGTGGGTCAGCGGTAGGTTTATAGATTTACATCGCAGAAATCTGGGGTTCGATTTCCCACGGTAAGCACAGCAGATAGACCAATATGGCTTTGCGCTAAAACAAACGCTAACCAGTCACGGGAAAGCGATCGTGCGAATAACATCCTACCTAAAACGTTTCATATTAGTTTCGTCGTGACGTCTATACGGATGAATGGATGTAGGTAGAAATGCGTTATGCCAGAAATTGTGAATGTTTTAAAAGGGTCGTGTGCTTCTGGGGTAGTTTTAGATCGTTCCTTTACTGTTTCACGTGTCCCTACAAGTGTGATGTGTAAAATTATATTCACATAATAGATGAATACATCTTTATTCACACAGTTTTCATGAAGTTTTTACCTTACTTGCAAGTTCTAAACTATGCTCAACATAGAAATCCTTTAATATTTCTCTTAATCAGTTCCCATGTTTGAAAACTTCAGCCCAGGACTTGGCCCGTTGCCCGGATAATCTGTTTCGCGAGTTTCTGCAATTTTTCTAGCCTTTCAGTCATGCGTGAAAAAAGAAATCTGGGTTTCCTTTTCTGTGAACAGAACTTTCCTGGTGACATGTCATTCTGGGAAGACCTGGTGGAACTTGATCTTGTAATACGAGTTTCAGCTAAGTTCTTAGTTCAAATTGCCAGGTGTTGAACAGACTCACGTTTTTTCGTTCAGTTAAGTTATTTGCTTCTATTTTACCATTCGCCATTAATCAGAATATAGCGAGCCTGCAACGCCAAAATATATTTTGTATTGTCCTTTACTCTAGATGTTTACGTGTTACATTCACTTCAGTGTCGAATAAAGTGTTTTGTTCATTTAGCATTTTGTGTCGGACTATTTCGTTTCCGAGTTTAGTTGAACTTAATTACATTTCTGAATGAACCTTTCACTACTGTGGTTTCGTTTGTTTGTTTTGAATTTCACGCGAAGCTACATGAGGGCTATCTGCGCTAGCCGTCCCTAATTTAGCAGTGTAAGACTAGAGGGAAGGCAGCTAGTCATCACCACCCACCGCCAACTCTTGGGCTACTCTTTTACCT